ATAAAATTTATAGGTGTGCCTTAATTCGATTGTTTAAGGTTGCAACCTTATACAAACTACACCCCTATTTTAAATGGAAAACTCTTTCATGCGGGCTGGACCACATTTCTACATATGCAGTCCAGAAAGAGTAGAGCATCCATCTTAAAGATAGATGCAAGTAAGTGTTCCATCTAAAAACAATGGAAACTAACAGTCCAAATGTTTTCTTACTAGAATTGTTAGTTTTAGTTTTTTAAGTTTATTTATTTTTTCATATTCATGATCTCCATGTTAGATATTACATGTCCTTAAAAATTAAGTCATAAAATCCATCTCAAAAAAAGATTTATTAAGAGGCTCGTATTTCTACATACGCGGGCTTGGCCGCATAGGAGCCAAACCCTTTTTAATTCATAAATGCATACTATTCATCAAAGGCGGTAAGATTGGTCTATTTGGTAGAGGTTCAAAAGATACACGTTCACTAACTATCGAGGGAGGCTGATGACTTCAACTTTCTCGACTTCATATAATTTCAAATATTTATCCAATGAATATTCATCATATATTTATCCAAGGAATATTCATCATCTATGTTTTTTAAAAAGTGAGCATAACGGCTCTAAGAATGATCATATATAATGGTTATAAAATCCATACTTAGGTCGAGTTTTCTACCAATCCACTGCTCCAGGTGTTAAGGCTATGGCCTTGGTATAATCCTCTACGCTACAAGCCCCAACCCATCTCTACTGGGCATATCCCTGGAAGTACCCTAAAAAATTCGGACACAGTTAAACATGCACATAGCAAGGGTAAGCTTATTATAAACCTAACCATGTCCATCATAGTTTTATTTCATCTCACAATAACACTATTTTATTATGGATTCCTATCATTTTTCTCTCAATAACATTATTCTGTTATGGATTCCTATAAAAAAAAAGAATAATGATCCTATGAGACCCTCCCATACCCATGTATGTATGATCCCTAAGGATTACTATTAAATTTGGCACAGATCTCTAAAAAATTTATCACATGGATACGGGATTTGACTTTTCTAAATATCAATTTTATGATGATCCTTTAGGGTCCTACACATGGGTGTGGAAGGGTCTCATAAGATCATTAATCTAAAAATAATAATATTTTACTATGGAGTATATTGCATGATGGTTTAGTGAATTATACCATACCTTTTACATAATTGGGGAAATAAATTGGAGTAATATTCAACACTGTTGGTTCATAATGCGTTTGTCTAACTAGCTTTTCTACCAGAGTTTTATATCATTTAAATATATTCAAAGCATCTAATTTTTTATTAATAAAATACAACTAACCAAACCTACATAAGCCATCTATATGAAATAATGAATGCATCTATGTCTTCATATTCAAGGTCATCTAATTTCCTCCCTTCATGAAAGGGATTTCTAGTTAATTTATCAAATATTCATGGCTCGTAAGTTGAAAATTATTTCTCCTAAGTCCATTACCAAACCCCTTTTTTATCTAATTTTGGTTTCTATAAGGTTGCAACCTTAAACAATCCAATTAAGGCGCACCTCCATATTTTATCGTAACATGTAATTTGTTGTAAAAAATTCTTAAGATTATCTTAAAATCTATTTTCATATCTAATTAGAATTTTTGAACTTCAAAATTGATTAAAATCAAGTAGATTTATAAATATATGAAAATCTTTAAAATAGGCAGTCTAAAGAATGTGTTGCAAGATGCACTATTTTTGGGACTCAAAAACCTCTTTTTTTTTCTTTTTTTTTTCTCATATTCATACATCTCGATGTCGAGATGATCAATTACAGGGTTTTTCAACATTAAAACAACCTTTCCAATATATTTTTGAGGTACATCTTTAATTCTACATTTTAAGATTGCAACCGTATATAAACATTTTCCTTATTTATATGCCTCGATCTCAAATCTCATATATAAGAACCATTCACATTGAACTTTTCAATCCTTATTTATATGCCTCTATCTCAAATCTCATAAATAAGAACCATTCACATTGAACTTTTGAACTTTTCAATAATATACAACTGTTACAAATTTTCAAATTTGGGCCCCCATGTTTATCAATAGTGACTCAACTAACCTTCTATCATAACTCTTATCATCTAAGAGAGGAAACAAAAATCAAATCATATCTCACATTGGACCTACATATGATATACGTAAGTATAAGATTCATTCCTCTAGACATAAACTATCTTGAGAGTACTGACAACATGAACATTGCAATAAATGTCATTGCCTAGGGTTGGCTCATGGTCAACCCCGACATGGACCCAAGCCTAGTCTAAACCAATTGGACCCAGATCCAAGCCCCACATGTTGGGTCAAGATATAAATGTTGTGCGCGCGGAAGCTTTAAAGCCCATCGGCTGATTTTTGGCAAATAAAGTACGAGAAATAAATCATGAAATACATAACATAAGAATACAAATGTTTATTTGGTCCCAAAAGCGCTACATCCACGGGCATGGCAAACTGAAATCCACTATACACAAACCTCGACAAAAACTAAATCAAGCAAATCATTTTAATAAATCATGAAATATATAATACAAGAACATAAATATTTACTTGGTTCACCCCAAAAGGCCTACATCTACAGGCATGGCAAACTGAAATCCACTATACACAAACCTCGACAAAAACCAAGTCAAGCAAATCATTTTAAACTTGCTCTCCTAAACAGCACTACTCTGATGTCTCATCTCTATTCCATAACTAAACCATTGTTAAGGAAGAGAACTTTGAGAGCAAACAAGACTTTATATAACTAAAAGGGAAACCACCCAAAATCTCTATTTCATAACTAAACTATTGTCAAGGAAGAGAACTTTGAGAGCAAACGAGACTTTATCTCACTAAAAGTGAAACTACCCAAAATCTCAATGGGAACCTTTTCTCTACAAGAAACAAGCATCCCAATCTTCGGGAGTCCAAAAGAGACACCATTAGAGAAACAAGCCTCCTAATCTTCGGGAGTCCAAAAGCGATACCACTGTTTCTGTCTAAAGGAAGCTCTATCTAAGAATAAATCACATCTTATGCACATGAGGCTCTTCCTCCCTCTCTCTCTAGATGAACCAACATTCCCATAACCCAAATTGGGCAGACAAAAGCTCTCTACACTTTTATCCCATATATATAATTATGAATCCACACAAAATAGATTTATCCATTCAATAGTCCTAATCTCATTGGATTTATATTTTTTTTAGGAACCTTATCAATATCAAATATCAATCCCATAAATTATGGGAATATCTCAATTCTATTGGATCAATCTTAATCGATCCAACAAAATATGGGATTATATCAATCCCACAAACTATGGGATTTATTTATGTGGGTGATTTTGGATAGCACCAAATTCAATAATAAAAACTTTATTACATATATAACATGCTGTGAATATCATATATGAAATACATTATGGGTTTGTATACAATGAGACCGTTTATCTTTGATACATGGAGGTCACAATTACTTATAACCCTCCGATATGAAATTTGATAGCCTGGATGTGTCACAAAGTTCGAGATAATTACTTTTGAACTTGGTCAATGAAATAAATGCAGCCACCCAATGCGCATGATTAATTATGACCACCTTGTACGAAAGGTAAATAGTCTCATTATAT